AATCCTGGCATGAACATGTAAGTTTTTAGAGCTTATCACGATATCTCTTACATTCTCCTCTGATAGGAGAAGAATGAACCCCTTAACTATGTTTTCCAGGTCTGTGCCTCCTGTACCTTCCACTGCATACCCAGATGTTGGGTTTGATACAAACTCTAAAGACCCCGTATTGATGAGGTCACGAGTCTTTATAGGACGCCTTTCTGGTACCCCAATCACACGCGATGATCTTATTGGCATTTGTAGGCCGTTTGGAACTGTTCTTGCTCTCAATCATTTCAAGGTTCATTCAAGTATATTGATTAGTAATCAGAGGTGGTCATTTCTATTTTCAGCAAGGTTATGCATTCGTACAGTTTTCCATGGCCAGTGAAGCTGATGCTGCAGTAATTGGATTGAACGGAAAGAAATGGATGAACATAATACTCGGTGAGACCGTAACAATAATCACAAGCGCGAACTTTTTCTTTTGGTGCGTTCATACTTTGCGTCAGCGTTTTAAAATTGCACCTCCAGCGTCTCGGGCTAGGGAAGTATATGTATCGACCTAGCGAACGGCAGCGTCACCAGCGTCCAGTAGAGAGTATGGGGGAGTAAGAGGGTGGCAGACTGCTGGTAGAGTATGGGCAGTGTTATGGAGCAGACAGCTGGACTAGGCGTCACGGCATTGCAGCGTGTGCAACCGCACCGTACAGTCGCTAAAGCTCAGAAATATAATATGTCTTCCAGTCTACGGTGTTCTGTTAGTACGGTGCGCTTGCACAGGCCGCAATTTCAGGACTCCTAATCCAACTGTCTGCACCCTAATACTCACCCATACTCTCTGCTTCTGGACGCTGGTGGACGCAGGCATCTGTAGATAGATACTCACAAATCTCTAGTCTATCGAAGCGCTGGTGGAAGCTGGAGGACGCTCGCGTCCGTAGATCGATACCGATGCTTTCCTAGTCGCCGGTTGATGCTGCCGTTCGCTGGATCGGTCTCTATGGCTTTCCCAGTCGCTGACGCTGACGGACGCTCGAAACGCTGGGTCGCAGGTGGACCCTGCCGCAAAGTATGAGCGCAGCCCCAGGAAAGTATAGGTATCGATTCCGCGTACATCAGCGTACGCTCGAAGCCCTAACCTTCTCTAATCCAGGTTGATAGCGCGAGGTTTTTTCGCAGCATATGGCTGTCTTTTGTTTATTTTATTTGTCCTAATGATTCGAGGTCCATTATGATAATCCATTCGTGTCGCATTTCTCCCATCTTTTACAGTTCGTTATTCCTTCTTCATGACATATGCTGCCTCCCCTGTAAAACGAAATTTGGCGCCAGTTCGGCTTGGTGGGCACCAGATGGTCCTAAGGAAAGCGTCAGGCCACCTTGCGAAGATTTATATATTCCGGTGACTAAATTTGCTCAGCTGTACTATCTCGCAGCTTGACAAGGGTTTACAAGCACATCAAAAGAGATCTCTTAGTCAACATGAACTAGTAAAGAAATTATTCCCCTCCCCCATCAAGCCGAAGAGCGTCCGGAATTCGGAGATTTCGGACATTTAGTTTGACCACGCGCTAATTAGCATCGGTAGGCTATGTTCAGCGAAGCTCAGAGTTTGCCAAACTGACGGCAGAAATGGCGCTGACTATCCAATTCTTTACTCACAAGTTGACCTTTACTAGCAGTTTCTATGGAGTACAGCTCAATCGTTAGGTCTTATGTCGGTTTGAGAAGTTTCAATGCTCCCATTCTTATGCGATTTTTGCTTACCCCTAACATTGTCGCTGTGTTGGGTTAATTTGTCTTCCTGTCCCGCTACGAAACCCTCTTGTTTCACCCAACGTTAATACAAATGTCTGTTATCACAAGAATGCTGAGTTATGGGCAAAAGTCGTACCCCAGGCGGGAGTCGAACCCGCACCTCACGCTTTCCGGGCGAGTGCGCTATCCGTTACGCCACCAGGGCCGCTTTTACCCTCTCAGCTTAACGGCTTTTATGCCGTAGCCATAATAATCATAACAAAACAGCTTCAAAAACAAATGTCTATGCGATGATTTCTTACAGCTTTCTCTTCAGCGTCTCTCTAGCTGGCGTGGTCCACTGTTCTGTATGGCGTTTCTCCTTAACTGTGTATGCGGTTGTCGAGCCAGCGCTGACGAGCGTCTTATAGACCGCTTTCAGGGCACATCGAGCTGAAAACCGTTCTTATGGAAGTGGCTCAAAGACAGTCCCCGCAATCCAATTACCTCCGTGCATTTGGTAGCCACATCCGCACTCGCAGAGAATGCACCACTTTCCGTCCCAAGATACTTGTCAACCGCGAAGCCTGCCTCGTTAGCAATGAGTTCGCGAGACAGGATACGTTTGAGCTGCGCTTGAATCCACCAGCAATCGCAGTGGGAAAGCTTGTTGTGCATTGTTTACTGCAGGCCTAATTTCATGAACAGGTTTTCAAAAGCTCTTTCTGTTGCAGTGTTTTCGTTTTTGTTGTTTTTCTTCTTTTTTTTGACGGCATTTAGTACTGGAAGATGCGAAGGAACGTTTCGTAAGGCAGCAGGTGAACAGAGGCCGCAGAGTGACGATTTGACGCAGATCCGGAGAACTCGTACAGTGAGGTTGTGTGGCTGTGAGGAGGGGTGTTATTTACGGGTGTTCTCGCAGTTCCTTTTTTCCGCCACTGATGAGACATTTGAAGACTTCCCGCGAATGAGTGGTCTGCGGTATACCTCCGTGCTTTCGGCATCGTTGTCCGCATTCAGAGAATATACCACTTTTCGTCACTCGAAACGGCGATATAAAAAAGCTAGAGACCGTGATTATTGCAACCATTGCAACCACGATTACTTTCACTCTGCAAGACAACGGCTTACAAGCGGAATTGCGTGTGTACATAGCGTTGCCTGGAGCGTCGTAGGGATTTCCTGTGCTCTTGCCGGGAATCGGTTGCACGTCGAATCCTGCTGATTGGGCTTGCCGACGTCCGACAAACTCGTCCAAGGCGCCCACTGCTAAGGGGTCTCTGTTCAGAGTGTTCCCAAGGTTTTTTCGCTTCTTTCTCTACTGAGGAGTCACATATGGGGGCTACTGGTTAATGACTGAGCACCTACTGCCCTAACACTTGATCGCGGGAATTGTCTTTAGCGGCTACTAGTTCACAGCTGAACACTCACTATCCATCCTTGATCGGGGAGAGAACTACCTTTAACGTAGATCGTCCACGATACGCACGACCCAATGTCCTTTTGGAAGCGCGCCACAATGGAATTCTTGCTAAACTGCAGAGGATTGCTATTATGAAGCGATTTTTTGTCTATTTTATTTCTTTTTTGTTTTATTGTTTGATTTTGAGACATTTCGTGGCATTGTTTGTATTTTTTGTCGTTTATACCGATACTCAAGGTGTGATGTTTCAAATGTAATGTATGTACTCCAGATGTTCATCTCGTGGAAACGTATGTAGCAAAAAAACGTACGGAGCAGGAAGAGAGGTAATCCATGGCTGTTCGTCCATTTCTGCGCTGGTGATACCTCGAGTGTTTTGTAATTTCCGTAATTACTATGAAACGTTCTTTGATAAACATGTGGTTTCAAAGCATGTCCTTCTCCACATGCTGTGGCTTTGGACATGTCTCTGCTCTCGTATTCTTTTTTTTTGTTAAAATTTTGCAATAAATTGAAAATAGCCGCTTTTCGATGTGGATTCATCGTTTTTTTTCCAAACTTTATTACTTTATTATTGGTAACATTTCAGTAACTCGCGTAAACGTCCTGGTGAAGATGATGGAGGTCATGTTTTGAAAGTCTCTCGCGAAGATAGCGCTACTGTGGACGACATAAAGGAACTGAACAATCGTAACCGAACTGTTGCTCTGAGCGATTCCACAATGAATGGGGATCTATCTTCTACAGGTACGTCCGAATCAGTCATTTAGAAACAAAGAAAAACAAAATAGGGAAAAGAATACACACCAAAGCCTTCCATACCTGCGGGAACTGCTGCCCAAGGTTTCCCAGTTTCTCGGTTTTCTTTTGAATGCCGCTATGCTGCAGTGCGTCTATACTACGCGATTGGTCGCCCGGATCGCTGCAGTAATTGCGACTGGGGCGCAGCTGCAGCAGTCCACCGCTAACACTGCGTTCATACATTGCAACCCCAAAGGTCAGGAGAATGCGCACCAAAGTGAAGTATAAAGCCAAACGCGAACGCAACCGCAGACGGTAATCTATCGACGCCAGCCGCTTATGTTTAAGAGAGTACAGGATTACGGAAGGGCTCCCTACAATTTGAGAGCTCCTTCTCCCTACTCCCTTTCAAAACACAAGGCGCGGCGGCCGTCAATACCAGAACAACGCAATTTGGCAAACGCGTTACCATATCCACTTACCCCCCCCCCCCCCACTCTCTCTAACACAATAAGCTCCCAGCCGGGCCGACTTAAATTTTCCGGTTTTCGGCTGCTTCGGTCTCTAAGGATTGGAGCGCTGAAATCAATGCTACCGCGTCGACGCGCAGTCAGCGTAAAAAGTTTTGAAATCGCCCGCCTTGATTTCTATCAATTTTATATTTTCTCCTATTTTTGCCGCTGGATCGATATATTAACCCGTCTCTCCTGCCATTGCTATCCCCCCCCCACCTTTGCGAAACCATGCACACAGTCTAAAGCGGCGAAAACCGAGGCCTGAAACGTCGCCCCAGCCTGCAAGTGATTTCGGAATCCCGCGATGCGAGCGAACAGTTCAAGATCCTAGGTTTTCCTAAACATCTTTCGTTTCTGTAAACCTCCTTACTATGGATTTTGAATTTTACATGCCATAGAAATTTAGAAATCGCTGATACGATGATTTGCGGTAGATGTCGCTTCGTTACGGCAGACTATGAAGCATTCAAAGACCATCGCATTGCCGGGTGTAGAGATAAGGGCAGAGGTTAGTTTTATTACCCGGCTGTCCTCCTGCCCTAATTTGATTTTGTCTTATAGATGAACCAAAATATCTGAGATGCGCGTCATGTGATAACCGTTTCAAGAGCGCTTGGGGACTGTTATGTCATTTGACTGAGTTCCATCGCATGATGCTCTACAAGGTCGACGATGAGCCGGTCAGTTGGGCTAGCAAAGAGGTAAAGTTATGGTATAATGTATTCTCTCACAGGTGTATTTCAATACCTTGGAGATGGGAATGACGTGGTTGCGTGCTTTATCTTGAAATTGCGTAGGATGCGCTTTTTGAAGGATATTTACGTCTGAGAATCTGTCGTCCTGTCATGTAATGAACAAAGACATGGTTACAGTTCCAAAAGGGCAATGTTCTGTCAGAAGCGTAGTCGCCAACGTCACGTTCAAATGAAGTGCGCGGCCACGCCCCTTCATCTCCAAGCTTTTATCTTTCATCGCTTTGACGCAAACTTCACTCCTTTCGATCGCAGTTTTTCCTGGAATCTCTGCCCACTCACTGTGTTGGCATGGAGACCGATATTGGCCTTAATGGCTTGTAATTGTTAGACGCAGTCTACGTCGATCTTGTGGACGATTCTCTTTATCATGTTGGAAGTTCAGTGGCGCAACAATAAGAAAGTCGCTGCGACAGACCGGACTCCGCCCACACGACCTGTGTGGAATATGCCTTGCGCGGAAGATCGACAAGGCGTGTGAAGTATTTATGCGTAGCACAGAAGAAACGCTGTGTTCCTGAGCAGGCGCTGTGTTGTGCCCTTCCAAACCAGAGCGCCGTTATAGCTCTTTTATCAAGGTGCATCATGCTGCCGCCGCTGCTGCATGCCGCAACCGAATGCCAACGATATTGGCACGATGCCAATGGAAAACTCGTTCGAAGTTGCTTCCTGCTAGCTGTATGCTGCAACTCGTCAACCGCCCACCCATACCCTCATACAGGCCTCTTCTCAGGCTCTTGTCCCACCTCGTTTCGTCGCTTTCCCGCTTAAGTACCACTGCTACCATTTCAGACCAAATTATCGTGCCTTATGCCTTCAAAGGGAATATGAATATTGCATTGTCCCAACTTTTCTTTTCAGTCAGGTTCAAAACAGGACAGTGGAACTAGTTCTGCTCCCAGAGGAACACCGTCCAGGGAGACACCCGAGAAATCACGTCAGGCTGCTCTCGAACCTACGCTTCAGCAACCTCGAACACCACAACAACAGGTATCTCAGGATGCACTCCTCGGTGCCCGCAGCTGACGGAAATCTGTTTAGGATCACACGCAGTCTACATCGTACGGGACAGTGTTTCCTAATCCATACGCTAAAACGCGCCTGCGAATAGACTGAATATGGACGACCTAACTAGCTGACGGGTTTTTCAGTGAGTGGTTCTTTCAAGCACATTAGCAACAATGGGATCTGTTAGTAGGAAATAAAATGAAAAAATTTTTGTTATCCCCCATCCAACATAGTTGAGTGACGGTAGGCCATCTGAATTTTGGCGGCCTGAGTGACGGTAGGCATCTTGAATTTTGGCGGCCTGAGTGACTTGGTGGGGTACACTCGGCAGTGCGGAGACGGCCAAGACAATCGTTGCCGATCCGTCGCGCGCGGCGATTTTAGTTCGCACAAGTCTGTCGATTGATAAGTGATCAACCTGTCGATCGATTAGTACCTGATTTCGTGTAGACTACGAAATCTTAAAAAATTATGGCTAGCTTTGGTTATACTTCGTCCACTGTCGCCACCTAAAATCTAGAATATCGTCACCCGCGCGCGCGATATCGGACGCGACATTTGCACGGTAATTGCGATTGTCTTGTCACGTACCTGCGACCCGACCAACACTGCTCGTCTGCGCTGCCGGATCTCTCTCCTCAATCGGATTAGCGAGGCTCTCAGCTTGGAGAGGGGCAAGCAGACGGTAAAGTGTGTGCGGCTGTATCTTACCACCTGCCCCCCCTACCGCCCTATTACTTGGTTTTGTTCGTTGTTCTTATGTGTTGTCATTGTTCCAGTGAACTGGTATAACCTGCATGATTTTACTTTATATTGTTTTTTTCTTTTTACTAAGTCGTTTTTGGTTGTGCAACGCGCCGTTTAGGCAAAAATATTCTTTATTCAAGTAAATGCTCTGTGTAATAAAGAAGAGATCTTTCGTAGAGATAACCCGCCGAGACCTAGGAAATGGTGTCAGTAAAAGAATAGAGAAATGTGAAAAAAAAATCATCGGAATGCGTAATGATATTCTCAACAAGCACGTCATGAATGTAATAAATAACATTAGAAATAACTGAGATCGCAAGTACGTTACAAGTCTAACGAGATTTAATTATTATTACCGTAATGAGGCCTCATCTGCATATGTCGCGCTTCGACCTCATGGAATTTTATCCAGCCGAGCAAGGTAAGGCTGTGGGCAGGAGGTGGCTCCGCCTCAGAGGGGGCAGCTCTGGCACTTTGGCTAGTGGGCCTTTTATTGGGATCCATCGTCAACTACCAGTGTATCGCTCTGGTTGGAGAGCCTGTAAGCCCCTGTAAACTGTACGCTGTAAACCAACGATGGCTGTATGGGCTCGGGGGAGGGGGGGGGGGTGGGGGCTTATTCAGCGTCACAGTAGTCACAGCGTCACAGTAGTCTGCAAATTTCCATAACGAATGGGTGCTGAGGCGTGGTGAATTCCCATAATTTGTGAAATAGATGAAGCCTTGGGATGGCGCGCGCCCAGGACGGCTCCCTTGCGCCCCCTCAGAATCCCACGGTAATATGCAGCCTTTGACAAAATATTGCAGACTGGCTGTTAAGGTCATCTGTCAACTGGACCTTCCCTCGCTGGGAGGCTCCAAAGGATTTTATGGTCGGTCATGCTTCTGGGTATTTGAGAAGAGGAGAATAACTGAGAGGGAAAATGGAAAGAAAGGAAGCCAGAGAAAAGGAAGAGGATTGGCTTACAATTGATTGACAGAGTCCTGAAACTAAAATGGCTCCTTGCGAGGCATATGGTATCTTGTTCTGTAGGGAATAACTTGCCTCTTTCAGGACAAGTCATGACGTGGGTGGCAGAGAGACATACGCATATGAATTTGATACAATAGCTTTCACTGAAATGTTGATGCGATGGTTTTGGGTGATTACGTCCAAGCCACACCTCGAGATTGCCAATCAATCTGGGTTTATACCTTGCGCCGTTGGAGAATTGGAGAATCCGTGGAAAGGAAAGCACAAGTATCGATCTGGGGAATCAGTGAATCGGCATTGCTGCGGGTATTAGTTGCCCAAAATGGTTTTTCCGCCACTTTGGTATTTTCTATAAAACGCGTCATTGCCGCTCAGGTTTGGTGTGAGGGAAATGCATCTGTTAGGTCTACAAGGCCCTAGGCCGGGTATGTTATAAGACATTTTTGGGTCCTTGAAGACGACAAGTTGCTTGAAACGTCGATTTAACAGATGGGTTCCATCTTACCAAACTCGTGTATACAAAGCAGTAGGCAGACTGTGAGCGTTAACTTTTCCTTCCGCGTTGCGGCGCGAGCGTTTCACCGATTCTCCAAGGCGGTTCCGACAAAATCGATACGTATCTAATCTTTTTCAGAGATTCTCCAACGGCGCAAAGTATGAATGCGGCCTTATCCTGAGAAACGTGAACAAAAAAAGGACAGGTCAGAGCTGGAGAGTAGTCCATCCTTGTCTTCAGATAGCTACCAAGACCGAGTGTGGTGGTTTCGCTCCGCAGCACTGAAAATGATCACCTTTATTTTTGGTAAAAATATTTTCCACAGTTTCTACTGCGGGCAAGGAGTACAGTACTGTTCGCTGAAGGTGAAGGGGCGTGCCAGTGAAGCTGGGATCCGCGAGCTGCCAGCCCGTTCTCCATCAGTTGTTGAAGCGGGTAAGCGACAACTGGTGGAAAACAACAGATACGAACGATATGATACAGCCTTGTCGCTTGTTGAAAGAAATAGAAAGGGCTGGCGCTGCGCCAATCCATCCCCCTTGACACGCCCCCGCATCCGCAGCGGACAAGACTGTAGAACCTGGACACCATGCTGCCGAAGAAAACGGATCTGGGAATTGTTTGATGCGGAATTTTGATAAAAATCAGTGCCCAACACTAACTCACTAAAACTAGAGAAACACTAGGGCTAGTTCTACAGCAGGGGTGAAATTTTACCCCATGAGATCGCTCCGATCACACTACCGTAGTCTGAGTGGGTTGCCATGTCCTGCTGACGAATCGTGGTGTCCATTTCAGGCCTGCCAATCCATTCAGTATGAGTTCACGGAATTCCGGATTCAAAAACGCATAGAGCATCGGATTAGCGACACAGGAAAGCATCGCTAGGCTGAAATGTAATGATATAAGTTCCATCTAATAATGTGATTGATCTACAGTCGTTATCACAGAAGACATCCGGGGCGTGTTAGCGGCGCGTGGGTTTTGGCGCGTCGCTGACACGCCCTGACTGAGTATAGCGATAATGACTGCTCAAAAAAAGGGATGAAATGTAACGTACAAGTGTGTGATGAGGTTCAAGAGGTAGGTATAGTCGTTGCCATTGTAGGCGAGCAGATCGTGGCTATCGGTGAATTCCATAAGTGTGCTGACAATGTTGTGTGGTAGTGAGGTGATGCCAAAGATCACTACCATTGACACCAAGATCAACGTCACTCGACGCCTTTGTTGCATTACTCGTCGCTTCTGCTCGATAAGATGAGATAACTGTAAAAACACATGGATTACCGCAGGTTAGAGAGCCGGGAAATCGACTAAATTCGCGAACAAAATTTCATTTAGGAAGTGTGTTGGCGACCACCCTTGTGCACTAAGGGGAATCATATTATGGAATTCCTTCGAAGAAATGGAGAAACTCGGAAAAAGAGAACTTCCGAGGAAGTGAAGCTATGCATGACTCAAATTAGCTCGCTCTCAAATAGGCAGTTCACATTGGCTTCATGGGCGGAGTCAGGCCTACTACTGTGCCTCGTTCACTGACACGCCTTCCACTTTATCTTTTCAGAAAATAGGGATACATCATGATTAGTATAAGCTGCGCGCTCGAGTTGTTGCATATGTTACTGCGCGCGATCACTAGCTTTTTTGTTGCGGCGGGATGAACCGAGCACTGGGATCAGGGGACAAAGTCGGCCTGTTGAGAAGTCTTGGAGGGTCGCATCCGCGAGGTAGGAAAGCTGTGGCACCATCAATGGTTGCGGTAAAAGGGTGTGTTTTGATAGAGTGGGTAAAGAAATGGTAAGAGAAGGTAAAAGATTATGGAATGGGCGGGGTAGTGTCGTACACAGGAGGAAGTTGTGGGGGGGGGGAGGAGGAGAGTGCCAGTAAAAGGTGTTTCCTTAGGCGGGAAGTGCCTTACTGTGGCTACCATCACGCCTGGGCGCCAACAGTAGACATAAAGATAAAGAAACCCTAGCAAGAGGAAAAGCTTTCAAAAGAGTAGTTTCATGGAATGTTAAGGCAGCATGTCCATGGGAATGGCGGACCGCTACAAATGGTCATTTGACCCGTGTGCTGCAGAGGCAGTTTACACGGAAGGTTTCCATATCGTTCAAAGATGACTAGAAGGGCGCGTGTTATATAAGGGGGAAAGAGGAAGAGAAGTGAAATCGGTCTAAAAGGATCCTGCGAGGAAGAAGCAGCTCTCTGGTCTTAATGTTAAAGGGGTGTGAGAAAAAGAAAGATAGAATGCGAAAATAGAAAGAACAATTTGAATTAAAATGATAGAAATAAAAAGAAAATATTAAAAAATAATAAAAAAAAAAAAAGTAGAAAAATAAAAAAGTATAAAAGAAGAAATAAAAAAATGATGAAACAAAAAGAATACAAAGAAAAAAACAAAAAAAATAAAAAAGAAAATTTAAAAGAAAAAAAAAAAAGAAAATAAATTAAAAAAAAAAAGAAAATAATGAATAAAAGAATGAAAAAAAATACTAATTAATAAAATAAAAATGGTTCAGTGATTTCAGAAATCAATTTTGGACGAGTTTCCCGTAGGCATCTTACCAATCACCGCTACCGAAGATACGGCTGCATGTGTACCCATGTATGCATGCAGCATCACGGCCGCTTCATACCAATCCCTTCGCTTCATAATTTGCTTAGCAAATGATTAGAGCGTCAGGAACGGTCGTCCATTTGTGGGCGGGCGGGCGTTTGGGTCGGAATGTTGTGGCTTGATAGGGCCCTTATAAGGGCACCTTCCTTGGAAAGCAGCGCCTGCTCAGGGTCGCGGAATTCCGTCCTGCCAGGCGTATTGATCCTAGTCGTCTTGGGGGATTTATCGTGCCAACTGCCTTTAAGGAATTTCTCAGGACACGAAGTCCGCCGCTCCTTTATCCCTTTCGATGTCCGTCGGAAGGGGGAGATAATCTCTTCTGATCAACTAGGACAAATTACGAAATTCTGGTGCCGCCAACCAAAGGGAGGTGGGGGGGGGGAAAGAGGGGTGGCAGCTTGGTACGGGGAACAAGTCGAACTTCATCCTCTTCATCCCACTCCAGCGACTTAGTACGACCCCTACTGTCTTGGAATTCCCAAAGGTACATGTACCCTACCAAGAGCTGCCGAAGTCCTTGCAAGAAAAACGTGCTCTACACCACATACCTGCTCTTTATGCTGTTGCGTGTCTCCTCCAGCAGTGGCAGCAACCACATAAAGGAGATTCGCTTGTTGAGCAATTGAAGTGAGACGAGATTTTGCCCGACGTCGAAGAAACGAGAACACCTGAAATGCCACAGGTTGGAGGGGCTTTACTTAGCGATTTGCGGGAGGTCTAGTACGACTCACCGCTTGGTAACAAATTGTCATAATAGTGAATGGAATGACAAACTGAATAGCCAATACAAACAGTGTATAGATCCGTTTCGAATGAACATTTGGCCACTTTTCTGTACAGAACTCGCCACACACATCTGAAAACCGATCAGACGAGAACTCGTCCTATGGGGAAGAAACTCGTCCCATAGGGACAGTAACTTACTTATTGTGGGATATTTCCTCATTTTCATATGATACACGTAGGGGAGGGTGACGAGAATGGAGATGATCCAAAGAAGGATTGTGATTCGGATCGCATTCACTTTACGCAACGGGCTACCTGAAATACTCGTTGCAAACAACAAAGCAATCAGTGGGAATAGAGTTGCCATGAAACAAAGGTGTCTTAGGGGGTAGTGGACTTAAAGACACATTCCGCAATATCAGCATGTACATAGTGGGGTGCAAAAAGGAACCATAGATGCCAATCTACATGAAAATGAGGATAACAAGCAAAAGCAAAAGACTCGTTAAAATGCCCTCGATTAGACCCTTCTGGAATTGGTTTTAAGCAGTGTGCGATACAGCAATACTTGTCGCAGCCAAGCGGGGGAACAGAAGAAGAGAAAAGATGAAGAGATGAAGAGCATAGGGCCGAAAACCACCGCCGCAGATGTCCATCTCGTCCTGTTTAGGGCAGAGACACTTCCGAAAGGCGTGGCTTTCCAGCGAAACATGCCCCTTCCACTTCTTTTTTTGAGCTTTGAAGCATGATGTTAGCTCGGCTTCTGCGGTTACCCAGAGGGAATGGCTCGATTTGGCCAATTGGGGAATGTGATGCGGTTGGCGAACTGCACTGCTTCTACACTCTTTAATGTATCTCTTCTCTAGGAAAGGCGGCGCTGTTCGGCCTGGAGGGGCATTTCGCATTTTCGCTAGATCTTGTAGAATTACACTTCACACTTTGGTGAGACCCGTAACGCTTGTCAGGCTGTGAATCGAAGGCTCCTGTCTTTAGCAGGAACTTAAGGCCCCCACAGGAGCCACGCTGCAGTCGATCGATGGCAACAAGCAAATGCCGCCACCTAGCACAAACTGGGCGCAAACAAAAGCTGACAATCGGAACCGCTCAGAACTGGTTGCGCCGAACTGCGAAATCAAGAATACTTTGTAGAACTAAGTTCAGTCTGACCTGGAGCAATTACTAGTCGGAAGTACCGGTCGATAGCGATAGCGCAAAGTGAAAACGTGCCAATGAACAAACCAATCGCCTGAATACCTCCTACCACTCGACACAACATCGAACCAAAGTACCTGAAAACAGTTGCCTTCTTTTCCTTCCATGGTTCCTGGCACCGAACCACTTCTTTATTTGGCACCGCGAGAAGGGAGAGGGGGCCAGCCTGATTGTTTCACTCGTCGCAGAACCCTCGTTGCTAAGTATAGTGACTCCTTCATCACGCCATCAGCTCAACAGAGCAGCGAGACAAGCCGGAATGGACCGGGTTATGGTTCTCGGGCTGGTCTGCATGCCCCCTCGCAACGTCTCCGTGCCCTTTATCTCATCAAGTCCCCCTGCGCATGTTCTCGCTGTAGACGCCTGGAACTTGTTCGATGGGGAAGGGGGATTGGGGAAAGCTGGGTTCGAAGGGCGCACCCGTTCTAAAACAGCGCCAGACTGGTTGAAGGAACGAAGCGACTACAACTGGCGCCGTGCCAAATTCGCTCGCCCTCCCCCCCCCCCCAACACGCCTGAGGCAGCGTTCAGAATTCGCGACGGCAGCGCCCTGTCCGCGCGTTCAATGCGATCGATGCGCATGCTTTGAACTGTATCGATCGCGTCGAACGCGCGACCGAAGCGCTGCCGTCGCGAAGTCTGAACGCTGTCTGAGTGTCTGAGCAAAACGACTACGCTTACCATTGTTTGGCAATGTGTGTGACTGGCGTTAGTGGAATAGACAGCACGCAAAGGATGACGTCACTGACGGCCAAATTCACTATGAAGATATTCTGCACAGTCTGAAGACTCCGATGTCGTACAGTAGCGTAGATAACACCTAAATCAGGTAAATTGGCTAAACGGGTCTTAAAAATACTTAGGGTGCACTTACCTAAATTACCGGCAAAACTGATCACAAAGACAAATGAATACAGTACGGCAAATAATGCAACCGTAACCGGATGATTGCTCGGATCAGGAAATTTTTCCGTATAGGACCGGCAAACGACCATGCCATCTGCAACGATTACAAACATAACTCACTGGCTTTGTCAATATAAACCCTTTTTCCAGAACAACTACGAAAGACCATTGTCTCCTTAGCGGTTAAGTAGGCTTCCTGAAGCCGCAGGTGTGGGGTCTGGTACCAGCGCACGTATATCTTGGGGATCCTCAGCGAGGAGATCGTATTTGGTCGCTGAAGGGAGGGGGTCACATGAGTCTGTGACGGCAATTTTTGAGTATAAACTGGGGAATTATGAAAAAAAACGGAAAAATGGTAGGAAGCTGGGGAAAATTCAGGTAATTGAGTGCATAGGGAGACGGTTGGTAGAATCGAGGATAGGGAAGGGGGAATTGGTACTAGGAGAGGAAATTTGGGGGGTCGTTATTCCCAAAAATCTCTCCTCAACAGCAGAACGTGCCCTGGTTTCTGTTTGCGCGTCCCTGCGGAAATTTGTCGTCCGTCGCACACTGCAAAACCGCGAAGCAATCTTCGTAACAAGTGTCGCGCAATTTTACCGCGCGCGATGAGATGCGAATAAGCGCGAAGCTCACAGGAACAAGTGCTGCGCACCACGAATCAATAAATTTGGTGACCTTTTTGGGCAAACCAATGTAAGGTCCTCCTCCTATCCCAGTGAAGGTAGAGCTCTAGCCCTATTGAAGTAAGCTTTTCAGAAACGAACATGAAACCAATGTGGGAGTGAAATATCAATCTCACAGGGCTATTGCAGAGCAAACCCTGCTCATGAATGGGATGCTATCACGTGCTGTGATTTCATGGGTGGAAAAAGAAGTAAAGGAAATTTCCTGAAAGAGAGGCGAGAAATTGAGGAAGCACACTTTTATATGAAAAACCCAACTATCAAGAGTTTTTTGGTACAGTCGCAGAAGGGGTGCAGGTTGTTTGCAGAATGCAAAGAAAGGCAGGAGGATCAGATTTTGCGTGACGTTCTAAATATTCAAAACTTGAAGGATTCACGTCAGATTATTGATATAATAACAATAATAATAATTATTATTATTATTATAGTAATAATAATAATAGTAATAGCAGTCGTTTTGATTAGATATAGTAATAGCAGTAAGTCTTCTTCTTCTTCTCCCCTAGCGTTAGTCCCGCGCCGTCGCAGGGTCCGCTGATCTTGTTAGACGTCGCCACTTGTTCCGATCCACTGCATCTTCTGCTGTGGCTTTCACTTCAGTGAGGTCCCTCTTGATGACGTCCCTCCACCTTTTCTTCGGGGCTCCTCGTGGTCGCTTGCCCTCTACCTCGAGTTCCAATGCCTTCCTTATTGGGTGGTCTTCAGGCCTCCTCAGTACATGACCGTACCATCGCAGTCGCTGCTCTCGTGCCTTCAGCTGGATAGGAGCCGTCTGTGTGACTGCTCTGACGTCCTCGTTTCTGACTCTGTCGAGTCGTGTCCAGCCGCAGGCCCATCTCAGCATCCTCATTTCAGCTGAGTGGAGCTGCCTTTCATGGTTCTTGCAGATAGGCCAGCACTCACTGCCGTAGAGCATTGTAGGCCTTACCACAGCCCGGTACACCTTGCCCTTGAGTGTTCTCGAGCATCGCCGGTCGCACAGGATGCCAGTGGACTCCCTCCATTTCATCCAGGCTGCGTTGATTCGGGCCGTCACCGCCTGGTCCACGCTGCCATCAGCTGCTAGGTGCTCCCCAGGTACTGGAAATCCTCGACCCTTTCGATGCTCTCGCCATGGCGATCTACGATGACTTCGGCGCACTCTTCGGAGCTTAGGAACTTGGTCTTCTTTACGTTCAGCCGGAGTCCATTCGCAGCGAGCACATCCTGCCACCGCTGCACTTTGTCCTGAAGTTCCTCCCTGCTGTCCGCTATCAGGGCGATGTCGTCAGCATAGAGGATGGTTTTCAGTGGTCCCTCCATGAGTTCTTTTGCCATGACATCTAGAGTCAGGAGGAAGAGGAACGGGCTGAGGGCTGACCCTTGGTGTACCCCAACCGTAATGTTTACCTCCTTTGTCAAGCCGTGAGGGGTGCGTACACAGCCTGCTTTAGCCCCCATCGCATGTCCTTCACTATGGAGATGAGGTGTTCCGGAACGTTACGTTCTCTGAGCGCTCTCCAGAGTACAGGCCTTGGCAGGCGGTCGAATGCCTTCTCAAGGTCCAGGAAGGCTAGGTAGCAGGGTCGCCGCTTCTCTCGGTACTTCTCCATCAGCTGTCTGGCGCAATGAGATGGCCACGGTGGTGGACCCTCGGCATATGACCCCGAACTGTTCCTGCAGACGTCGAGAACAAGGTTCCCTTAGCCGTTGTGTTTTGACCAGGCGCTCGTAACAGACTTCATGGTATTGGGATTCAATTCGATGCGGTGGGGTCGGTAGTTGAGGGCACTCCGTCGCGTCCCCTTCTTTGAAGATGGGAACGATTGTGCTGCTCCTCCACGCATTCGGCATCCTTCCTTCAGCTGTTACGTTGTTTAGGAAGTGCGTGAGCCAACTCACCCCATGCTCTCCAAGGGCCTTCCATGCCTCTATCGGTACCCGTCTGGGCCCACGCGCTGGACGCCAGCTGCTTTCCCAGCTTTCATTCTCCCTAGCTCCCGGCGAACTTCATCCTTCGTCCAGGGAGTGATGGGACCTGCCGTCGCCTCTATCTGTGGGCTATCCTTGCGAGGGAATTCTTCGTTCAGAAGTCCCTCGAAGTATTCTTCCCACCTCTTCCTGACTTCGGCTGGTTTCCTGAGAATGGCCCCGTTGCTGCTCTTTACAGTCTTTACGACCCTGATGTCCTGAGCTGCGCGATGCCGAGCTTTAGCCAGGCGGAAGACGAACTTGTCCCCTTCTCGGCCTTCCAGCTTGTCGTACAGGGCGTCCATTTCCGTATTCTTGGCCTTAGCAACGGCCGCCTTAGCGAGTCGCTTGCAGCTCTTGTAGGCAGCGTAGTCTTCTGGCTCCGTGTCTTTGCCAGTGCAATTTGTATGCTCCTTCTTCTGCTTGACGATCCTCTGGACTTCCTAATAGTAGTAATAGTGATAGTAATAGTAATAGTGATTGTAATTATAATAATGATACAATAATAATGATACTGTGGTAACAGGCATAAGGATATAGCATCAGATTACAGCCGTTATTAATCGATTCTTGGATGAGCAGTGCTCCTTTCGCTCTGTAGTCAATTGAAAGCGTATTCCGTGATGAGCACATAGGCGTGGTCAGAGAACCATATTGCCTCCACCATTGGCGTGCTCCTTAGCATAGACATAATGATGAGATGGTTTCTGCCCCTTGAAGAATGCGTCTTTAGAGGTAGGATAACACTCTTCAGGTCACATAGAATTACTGAATGAACAAAAAAGAAAGAAAAAAAACAGAAGAATAGCAGTTATTTTCTCGAGCTACATGATTACTTACATTTTAACCTTAGAAGGAAGTTTTGAACACTTATTGTGTAAAGTCAAGATTGAATCGTATGAACAGAACCATAGGTTGATCCAAGCAAACACGGATCTTTTTCGCTCCTTGAGACCTAAGCAGAAGTCCTCACCTTCACTGACGTTATTCTAGTTTATGACAAGTAGCCCTTGGAGTGCTATCCCCCTAACTCCTTCTAGGTCATTACCGCCCACATTGTTTCTTGTCATAGTAAAGCACATGACGCGCGATGGGAAAGCGAGCACCAAAAAGGTAGACGCGGCGCAGCTCGGCGACGGGGGGGGGGACATTTTGCACATCTGGTGCTCCCATCGACGTGTCGCAGCCTCCTCCTCCAGCTTCACAAGAGTTCACAGGCTCCGCCAGAGACTTGTAAACCGGAACTAGGCAAGCAATGTACAAAATGCCCCCTCCCCGTAGCCAAAATCTGGTACTGGATATTCGGATCTCAGATGATTATATTCTGACGGCAGCTTCTATATAAATGTAAATGGAGTGCATCAGGGAGATGACAGAAGTGAACCCTTTTATCTTGCTTTCAGTAGTAAAAAAAATGGGCAACATTACTGCATACTTGGATCTCAGGTGATTACATTCTGACGGTAGCCGTCTCCATAGTCCGCCGTGCTATCTCAATGTGGAACACTTGCGTCGATACCAAGATCCCGCAGGGAAACACTCACCCAGCGGTAGAACGAAGCAGAAACGAGAGGACGCAGACAAGCAGCGCATTTGGCCATGGGTAGGCGGCATCGGGGGGCGGACTATGGAGCCAGCAGTGGGATATCACTACCCTTCACCCCATCATTGATCTTCAATCAACACAGTGGGCGGCAAGCAACAAATGTTGTCCTAGATTTAGCACTACATACACCCGAAGAAAGAATAAAGGTGCTCAGGACGGGTCGCAGAATTGAGCTGGATGTTGGGAGGACACTTAAAAGAACACCTAATGAGTAAAAAGCCGAGAAACGCGATTATAATTACTGAGTAAACATCCCAGTCATATACAAAGATCACACTAACCAAAGATCAAGATTTGGTGAACTATGAGGCTTCAGGGCTCCTCGTTGCTTTTAACGGAAGGAACGACACCTTCGCTCCATTGAATATAAATGAATTTCCAGGAACATTTACTTCGACTTGACGTTCATGAGGGGGCGTGTGTCTACAGCATGCGAAAACCATTTTTAGTTGAAATTTACAGCTGAATTCCCAAATGTATTTCATTGGTTTCCCGTAATCAATCTCACATTCACAAAGATATCCCTGCTCTTGCCACAACCAAAAACAGGGTGCACTTCAAAGAACGCTGACAACTTTTCGCGCCTAGCAATCCAATGGCACCTCGGTGAAGAGCCCTTCCGGATCGGAAGTGACAGAAAGAAGTCATCGTCATAATTTTTTGAAAGCCAAAAAGACGATGGCTGACGTCTTGCAAGATCAGCACATGAGAGCCCTTCAGAAGAAAAAGCTTGTATTGCGTCATGTCGGAGCCACTGAAGCGTAGAATACAAGGGAATGGTTTCAATTCCCATGGAACTTTGAATTACCTAGGTACATCGATAGAGTCTCGGATGCTGATTACGAATATGTAGATTAAAAGTGCTACGGGGACT